CTGCGCCACCGGCAGAGGCAGCACAGCACAGTCACCCTCCATGGAGCTGGCCTTAGTACACTGAGCAAGCTGGGAGGGAAACAAAAGGATCAGAAAGAAATGAGGAGAACAGAGCAAAGGAGAGGAGGGAGAAAACAGAGCAGCTGCTGCTGCTGAAGGACAGGGGAGAGAAGAATTCCAGTGCTAACGCCCACACCACCGTCCCTTCCCTCTCTCCTACTCTACCACCAGCGTTGTGATCCCAAATGCGGCTTCCAAGAGCGGACCCTGCTGTCAGCACACGAACACACCAAGCAGCTGACGGGCACAAGTGCTCTCCCTGCACTTTTCCAGCTCCCAGACACATTCCGGCCTGCGCTCCAGCAGCTCAGCAGTAACTCTGCTGCTCTTAAGCAAAACTGATGGCCACAGCCTGCACAAGCACACATCCTCTCCCATCACCCTGCAGCACCTCCGCAGCTCCACCATCACCTGGCCAAACATCAACTGTCTCGCCCCAGCACAGCTTCCAGTCGTTCCAGCACTGTCACACAGACTGACGCCTCTCACCTCGCTCCAGGGCATTTCCAGTTACCACCATACCATCTGTCCCACACCATCCCATCACACCCGCATGGGCACACACGCTTTTATGGCCCCGCTCCACCCTACTGCACACCAACATGGAACAGAGAGCTAACTGACAGCGAACAGAGCACAGTCCCTTAGGAGCACCCCTCACTGAAGGCAGGACTGAGACAGAGCTCTGTTCTGCCCACCTGCACCCACCCAAGACAAAGCACTGACCTTTCCTCTTTTAATGCTATAAAAGAGTTTGTTACCCCAGCCAAAGCCTTCTGCAGGGAAGCCGAGACAATCAGAGCGCATTGACCAAACCTTCTACCCAACCGCCTGTCGGGGAGCAGAAAGACCCCTTCTGCTCAGAGCACATTCTCCAGCTCCTGTGTCATGGCAGCGTTCACAAAAATAGCTCTCCAGGGCTGGGGGGCCGGTGACTACAATGGCAGCTGAGAGGCTCAGGAATTTCTAAGGCCCTCCTCCAGCCCTCAACCCCAACCCAAAGCAGGGGCTGGCAGAGCCCTGGCTCCTGTCGTATTTCTTCAGTGAAGCCTGTGCTAGCCTTAGAAATGTTGCTATTGTAGCGATGTGACTTTCCAATGTAAAAAAACCCTATAAAAAAACCAACCAAACAAAAAACCCCCAAACTCCAACCTTCTTTTCCCAGCATGCCAGGAACTACACCAGCGAGAGCTCTCGTGCACGCTAAGTTACACCAGGCAAAGCATCCCTTCAGGACCATGATTAGTTCAATGGAGATGTCGTACTGAAAACGCCGCCAACGATGCACCATCGCAGGGCGGGTCTGCTGGTCCCACAGCCCGGCCACCTTCCCTGACCGAGCAAAGAGCACTAACACCGACCCAGCCGCGTGCCAGGTGGATCCACCACCATAGCACACAGGGAACAACTCAAACCACTTTTAGGGCACCGTGGAGATGGGCGTCTCCCCAAGACCGCGTGAAGTCTGACAGCCCATGGGGAGCCTCAGTCCCTGTTTTGTTCATGGACACGACTGGAACCGAGCTCCATCTACCCCTCGCTGTACTCCCCAGCGTTCTGCTGCAGCGCGTACTCCAGTGCGGGATGCCTCGCTCCCTCTGCTTCATGCTGCTATTTTTATCAGACAAGCAACAATTTCTATTTTGGGTGAGCAGAGATTTTGGTAATGCAGCGTGCTGCTCCCAGCCCTCCCCTGTCACTCTCCAGTCTAGCAGACAGGACAATCGGGTTTGACCCTGCATCCTACAAGGCAAATGCAGAAGAAATGCGTTTGCGGTTCTGATCCATCGCTTTGCCCCAGATGCTGAAACAGATTTAATCTTACATCTAACGAACAAGTAAGAGAAAGAACTTGAAGAGAAACAGATTCAGACTAGAGAGTCCAGATTGTTGATTAACCAACCACAGTGACACGCTTCTGAGAGATGCAGTCTTCTCCATTTCTTACAGTGCAGAAAGCAGAGACAGATTTTAAATGTTTTTCCGTGGCTAGATGCACTCACTCATGGGTACGGTTTTCAAGCCTGTACTATGCAGAGAGGGACTGCAACAGCTCTTCTGTTTCTGCGACGGCAGCATCCAGACATCGCAGTGCAGGGGGTGCTCTGCAGACATCAAGGTACTGAGAAGCTGGCACAGCCGGAGGGCATCAGCGAGATGAGCATTCGCATGCAGCTTTCAACTGGAATTTTTCATCTGGGGTTTTAAAAGCATACAAACAAGACAGGCTCACATCTCAGCAAGCCTCTGTCAGATCTTGCTCACTAAAGGACCAATACACAGCAATGCCGATTAATCCAAGACAGACAACCATCTGCCCTTTGTTTAGGGGCAATCCTTGGGGAATCCTCACAACAGATTCCACCCACAATCTACAGCCATCACGACAGAGGTCTGCGCCTCCTCCTGCTCAATCGCGTGGGGAACCACAGACCCTGGGCTGCCTTGCAGGGAGCTGTACGGCAGCAAAGGGTGTGCAGACACTGCTTACAGGAGAGCGTGCGTGGGGAGAAAGTTGGCCTAGAGACAGGAAGAAAGAGAAAAACACGGTGGGAGCTGGGCAATAGCATTACTCATCTTAATCCAATCAGACTGTCTGGAGACAGAACCGCACGCTTTCTGCTGGACTGTCTTCCAGGCAGTCACGGAACAGGCTGGGCGCAGCTCCAGAAGGAAAGCCAGAACCTTGCTGTCCCTGAAGCCCGTATCTCCCCGTACTCATGGTCCAGGCAGACATATTTGTTGCAAACAGAGCAAAGACAGGGCTGGGCAAGAGACAGCTGGAAAAAGATAAACATGGGCATCAACTGGCCCTTCCCCTGAAATGGGCCATTTATAGATGCCGCCCATGCACCCCGGCATTCCAGCATGTTCAGCCCCACATTCCAGTGCCAGGCATTTCTGGGCTGACACTGACTGCTACGGGACAAGGTCCCAAATGCTGCTCTGCTCTGGATGACACTAGGGCTGTCCAGCAGAGAGGCAGCTGCTCGTGTGGGGCTGGCTCTCCCCTTGCTAAAAATATGTTAAACCTTTTCCTGATAATACTTTTCTGTGTGAACAGCCAGGAGAGAAAACCAAAAAGCTGGGGTGTCCTGGGAGGAACAAAGTGAGACAAAGCAGGAGACAGAGGAGGGCTCTAATCAGCACGAAAGCAGAAATGCAGGAGGGCGTGGAGTCAACGGGAGGAGAGATAAACAGGAGAGAAGACTGGTCTGGATGGATGAGATGGAGACAGGAAAGGTAAAAGAGATGATGCTGAAACAACGGAATAGGAATGCAGAATCTGATATGACAGCAAAGGGGTGGTCTTGCTGCAGAAGAAGAAAAGAAATGAAGGTGAGGACTGAGGAGCATGTGAAGAGGCAGGCAGGAACCCAGAGGAATAGCTATGATGCATGGAAGATAAAACATGAGCAAAGGAAACACAGCTGAAAGAGGCGAGGTGAGATTTTCAGCAACACGGGAGACACGGATGACTTTGTAATCGGTGAAGTTTGTGAAATCTGGATTTTTCCTCTTGGCTGCACTGCCACTACCTACCAGGGACTGAAATGCAGGTCACAGGGGCAGGAGCATCCAAGGCTGTGTCAGGGCTAGGTCACAATATGCCACCACTGCCTCTTTGCATTCTGCGGCCCTGGATGGATCTTGACTTTCTTTCAATACCTTTGGTATCAGCACCCCCACATCCCTCTTCTAAACACCATCCCACAAAGAATTTACGACTAAGCTGTGCACACAGCATTGTCATCTTCTGTGTCAGGAAGAATCTTCCCCTCCCTTCCCTGCAGCTTTCAGTAGTTGCGTCCTCCCACAATAAATGCCCTGTCCTCTCCCACCCACACATGTCCTTTGCTCCTGCCAGGCTCTCCTTTCTGCCTTGTTCAAGACGCTTTCTTTTGCGTCTCAGGCCACTTCCTTTTCCAAAATGTAAAGCGACCTGGCTCTCTGCTCTCCTCATGTTCTTCATTCTGATCTTTGTTGTGGCTATCTCCTGTTTCAGACAGTATCGAAGTCTACTACAGTTCTCCACAGTTCTTCTCTGCCATCTCCCATGGCAGGGCAGGAGGAGAGGGGAGGTGACAGAATGACCGGGCCCCCCCCGCGCGGGGCCCCCCCGCCCCGCCAGCCCCTCACTTACAGTGCGGTTGACTCTCTGCAAGCCGCTGCTGGGCAGAGCAGCCAGGGTCCGATAGTCCAGTCTCAAGGGTTCACTGGGGACGTTCTGGAGAGGGGCAAGGCGGGGAGCAAAAAAACACAAACACCAGGAATACGTCAGACCAGAAGTCAAATAAATGAACTAGAGAGAGCAATTAGAAGGAATCCACCCCTAGCAATAACCAAGGCCTTAGCTCCAAACTCTGCAAGAAGTTCCCATCGCCGGTAAACGAACCTGGAGCTGTTGCAAATGCAACTGCGGGGTAACATAAGAGATGCTGGGCTTGAGAAATCCTCCTGCAGAGATCACGTTGCTCGGGGCCCTTGGTCACCACCCAGATCCCCACCACTCCTCCTGCCCCCGCGTGCACAGGTCCGCTCCCTTACCAGGCAAGAGGAGAACGTGACTTACACGCCAGTTTTCCCCAAATGGCATCCAGAAAGGCTTCCAGACTGGATTTGGAGACATGTGAGAGTGCAAATCTACAATTCCTCTGCAATATTTTTTCCCAACCTTAACTCACACTCATTGTATATTTTTGTTTGATTTCACTTCCCATGTGCATTTGTCTGCCTTTAATTCTAGCCTTTGTTTTTCACTGTTCCTTCCTCAACCACAGTGCTGATTTCTTAATTTCTGATACCTTCGCTTACACCCAAAAGTCAAGCCTTTGGGGGTGGGGTGGAGAACAGAACTGATGGGAAACGAGCACTTTTAGAGGTTTCTCTGGCCTTCAGGTCCAGCTGTGGCCCTTTTCTGTGTCTCTCCAAGCCCCGCACCATGCTCCTCACCTCTGCCTCCTCCTCAAGCTGCTGCGTGGCTGCCTCCCGCTCCCTACGCATCCCCTCCTTCCGTGGACAGGCCAGAGTCAGAGCAGCATCCAAGTAGCACGGGCAAAGAGTTTTTTGGGAAAGAGGTCAGCACCATGCTGGGCAGGAGCTCCAGAGGGGACAGAGGAGCACGAACAGCGCTGGCACCGGGAGAGGGCGAGCAGAAACCAAGCCCGTACGCTGGGC